AAGAGATGTATATATACATATACATATATACAAGACTGCAGTGGCGCTTCGCGCCATGCACCTTGGTCCTTGAAGTTTGGTATGCAGGCGGACTAGCAGGAAAGTCAAGCCGACAATTTAGCAATAACTCCTTGTTGCCTTTTCCGGCATCGCCGCTATAATAATGTTATTCGTTTTCCTTCCTCCACGCTTCTTTTTTCTCATGTTCGCCATGCCCTGCGCATTCTCCCCATCCTCCTCAGCTCGTTGTGGGGAGGCTCCTCCTTGGAGAGCCTCTGGAGGTCTCACAAAAACTGTTTCGGGCTTTCTAAAGGCCTTCTGGAGGCCTCCTGGGCGTGTTTTGGGAGCCTCTAGGGGCTTCCTCGGGCCCCCCTGCCTCCAACCGCGGTCTCCCTGAACGACAGGGTCACGATTTGGAATGTTGCTTAGGGTGTCTTGGGGCCATCTTGGGCCGCCATGGGGCTCTCTGAGGGCCATCTTGGACCCCTGTTGTGCCGTTTTGGGGCTCTCTTGGACTGCCTGGAAGCCCTTTCGGATGGTTGTGGGGCGTTTTTGGAGCCTCCCAGGCAGCTTCGGGCACCCAGAAGACCGCCGTCTTGGAGCGTCGGGAAGCCGAAAAGAGGAGAACCGCTGAATTCACCAAAAACCAACAAAAATCAACAAATTTGTGCCTCTTGGGGCCTTCTTGGGAGTGCTCTTGGAAGCCTCTTGGGACGTTTCGGAACGATCTTTGGGGTATGACGGCTTCTTCGGGGCCCTGCGAGGCCCGGGGTGCCGCTTCGAGGCCCGTCCGGAGGGTCCCAAAGCCCCAGATCCCGGGAGTCCGGTTTTGGGGGGGCGGGGGGTTCCCCACGCCCTGGCTTATCAAATATTGGAAGCCTGGCTTATAAAATATTGGAAGAGGAATACATATATATACACACACATACATACATATACAAAAATAAATATATGCATATATATATATGGTGCCATATATTTGGTGCCAGCTATGCGGTGCAATGCATATGGTGTAAGATAAGTGGGGCACTCCACGTGGTGCAATTCATGTGGTGTAAGCCTCCCCCATCCCTCTCCCCATTTCTGTGCGATGCTATGCACGGCACTGCCCAGCAACGCCAAGCAACGTAAAGGAAGACAAGGCAGTGCAAAGTACCGCGAATCCATGGGAAGCAGTGGAATGCAATACCGAGCAATGCAAAGCAACGCAAAGCAAAGCAAAGCGAGGCAAATCAATGCAAAGCAATGCAAAGCAGCGCAAGGCAACCCGAAAAAAGAAGGAATACGAATCAATGGAACGCAATGCAAAGTCACGCGAAGCAATGCAAAGTAATGCAGGACCAGACGGCGACGGGGCGGCGACAGCTACCACATAGCCGCCATACCGACGGGCAGGCGCAGAGCGACGGGGCGGCGACGGCGACCACATAGCCGCCAGACCCATGGGCAGGCCCACAAGACGGGCGGCGACGAGGCGGCGACGGGGCGGCGACGGCGACCACATAGCCGCCACACCTGCGGGCAGGCCCAGTTCCCCAGAGAAGTAAGCACGGTTTGGGGGATGTAGATAACCCTTCTTCGGCGCATCACCCAGCGCGGCGGTAGGGCGGCCCAGGCGGTCCGCCTGGGACTTCCTCGCATACTGAGACCAGATCAAACTTCCCAACAAATACGGCCGGGAACTTTTGCTCATATCGCGGCGGCGGCCCTGGGGACACGCTATGCCCTAAGAGCGGATAGCGTGTCGCTCTGCTCCGCTCCGCTCCGCGGGAGGCGTCAAACGGCTCGACACTTTCACGCCTGGAAATGGGGGCGTGGTTAGCGTGTCGGTGGGCCTGAACGGGCGGAGCGACACGCTAAGCCAAAGTTCTTGACCATACACGGATGGAGGGCGGGCGTTCTTCAAATTCGCGGTCTCGCGTGAGCCGTCCTCCTAACGTGCGACACGAAGATTGGAATCCCAGCAGCGCGATGGCAGCAAGTGGTTTGGGATCAAACTCTTCCAATCCCTCTTCCCCTCCAGGGGAGGGGATGTCCCTCTCTCTACCGCCTCCCCTCGGACTGGCACGAGAAAGCCCAAGTTGGACTAATGCGGCCCCCAACATGCCTCCAAGAAGCCATGCGATACCTGCAGGACGGCTCCAAAAAGGCTTAAAAGTCTACGAGGATGTCCTCAAGATGACAAAAGCCCTTCAAACCCTTTTGAGCTTCCCGCCGTTTCGCGTATAATGGGCTGTGCCCTGCAGACTCCCTGGATCTGCACGCTTTGGCTCAGACGCCCTGGGTCGCTGCTGCCTGCCGCATGACCGCGGCCCCGCGCGCGCCCGCCCCCCTTGTCGCGGCCGCAGCCCGACCGTGACCGCCTGCCGCTGGCGCTTCCGCCTGCGGCTGTAAAAAAAAAGTATAATGGGCTGCTGAGGCCCCCAGATGGCCGCAAGATCGCCCAAGAGAGCTGCAACAGTGACCGAGAAAGGTTCCACGAAAGCCCCAGACACCGCACACCGCCAAGAGCGCACCGAGGGCGTCTACAGAGGGCTCCCAAGAGGCGATGTGTCGGGCTATGTTTGATCGATGTTTCCCTGGATGTCCCCAAGAGGCCTCCCAGGAGCCCCAAGAGAGCCCCAAGACAGCCCCAGGAGAGCTCCAAGAAAGCCCCAAGGGAGCCCCAAGAGAGTCCCGAATACCTCCCAGAACGCGGATTCACAACAAAAGTGAGGCGTGTGTAGTTTCGTCGCCCCCCTCTCCGCAGTGGTTTGCGTCGCGTTGCGCTGTCCAGTAAGTTGGATGTTGCTTTGGGAGCCCAGTGAGGGCATGAGCACGTCAGCTCCTTCACTTGCGTCCAGTGTGCTGCATCGCATCCGTCCCCTCTGCTTACCCTTCCTGTTCCGCAGCCGCTTGGGTCACAGGGGGACCGCTTGTCCCAGCCTCCCAATGTGCCTCGCGCGCGCTGATGTGCCAACGAGGAAAATAGCGCTTAGGAGGAGGATATGGGGCAGGACCTAACGGCCCAATGGAGCTTCACAATGGCGACAAGATCCGAACACCTTTATGCTTCATTTCTGGTTTCTTCGCGAATGTCCGCTTCTACGAAAAAGTCAGGAGCTAACCTGAGAGGCCATCGCGGTGCCCTTCTGGGAGGCCGTCCAGGCCATAGAAGAATTTGCAACAGGGGACTGTGGAAGAGAATGGGCTGCGTCCTTCCATATTTCACTGCATGTTCCGAGGCCACCCTTCCGCCTCCTTCTCCCACCCATCCTGCTCATACATCTAATTTTTCTCCCACGCCATCGTCATCCACCCCTGATCCATCGTGGCCGTCCCTCCCTAGTCCTCCACCTTCTTCCCAACGCCACGTAATCGGATCAGTTTGGCTCAATGTTCCAAGGAGGGCAATATTTGGTGGCTTTCATGGTTGACTCGAGGGTGTCTCCAAGAAGGCCTTCGCGTCGACCCCACAAAAGGCCACCAGCTTCGACAAGAGACGTGAACGTGATACGGCGGCTGTCGCTCCCCGTGTGTCTGTGCCACGGCATGCTGGCAAACTCCTCTGGCTCGGGCCACTCTCCTCGGATTCATTTCTGGATGGGCTGGTGGGGGGCATGCGAAGCGTCTAGAATTTCCAACAGCTGCACGGGTGCAAGACGGTAGTTTTCAAAATTGAGTTATCGCGCGAGCGCTAATCATCTGAACAGGAGGCGCAACACCCCCGACAATGCCCCAGATGGAAGGCGGGAGACTTTCGAAACCGCTCCCACCGCCGCACTGCGCGCATCGTTCTTCCATCACAATTCTACGGGCTAAACAGACGGTCGAACGTTACTAGGATGTTTGGCGCTCGTTGTACAGCCTGTGTAGCTCTCACCGTTCCACCCGTGCCACTCCCCGCGACAAGGCGGCAGGCTTTCTGACGTTTCCGGCCTCCCCCGAGCCCCGAACCACTGGCCAGGTCGTGCGAGCGCCACCATGCTGGTCGTCCCGGGCCACAGACCGTGACGTGCCCACTTGGGGGTCCCGAAACCGTTCGGTGGCAGACCCGGCGGTGACCTCGAAATCCCCAAAGACCTCACCGCAGGGTCCGTCACCACACGGTTTTGGGACCCTGGAGGCCCCAGTCGCCCGAGACATCCTCGGAGAACGACCCAAGTCCCCAAACCGTGCGGTGACCCCGAATCCCCACCGACTACCACAAGGTGTGGTCAACACCCCGTCTGGGGGCCCCCGAGCCCACGGGGGTGCCACCATTCGAGCTGGCGCCCACCGGAATGGAGCCTCACGAAAGAATTTGTCCGACGGAAGGGCACGCTGCAGCATCCGACGGCCACGACCGATGACAGCCGCTGATGATCGACGGTCATCGCCGACCGACCCACGACTGGCAGCCCCTAACTCAGCCCGCCCAGACGGGGTCGCCGCAGGTGGGGTCGGAAGATCGCACCGCACAGCTGCATCGGCGGCGTGCTGGCGCCATCGGGATGGAAAAAACCGAGCAAGGAATCGAGCCGCATCGCCGACGCAGCGCGACCCCTCGACCCCATTTGCTCTGGCTGCACCTTGGTCGGCCTGGAGTGATCGACGACGGCCTACGAAGCTGGCACACTTCGGCGGCGCGCCCAGGGGAAGTGACACGGGGGGCCTCCTCAGAAGGCGGCGGGGCTTCTCAGAAGCCCTCCGGCCTTGTGAGCAGGCGTTCGTGCCCTCGGAAAAGGCTTACGAAGCTTCTGCAAAGGCCGCAGGCCTTCTGAACTCTCTGCAAAGGCCGGTTCCGTCTCTTTCCTTTCACACCCCTGCTAAGCGCGCCGCTTGGGTGCTACTACTGCTACACTACACACTTCCCTTCTGCCCCGCCGCCCAACCTCACACCTCCCCGCCTCAGCGTGTGGAGATCGCCCCCACAGAACGACCGCACAGCCTTGCAGAGAATCTCACATTGGATGTCTGGTTTCAGGTCGGTTCCCTCTGCCTTCCCCCCTCGGTTCGCCGCCGAACGCTGAGCCCTCGACCACTTCGTCGGCGCCCTTCCCCGACTCCGGAGGGCACAGGTACAGCTCCGCGTGCCGCTGAGACACGCCGCGGGCGCTGGAGTCCACCACGAAGTCGCTGCGGAGAAGCCACCGCCGCCGCCGTCGGGGGGGGGGGGGGGGCGGGGGCGCGGGCGGCCCAGCTGGAGAGGGGTGAGCGGAACAAGGACGGGGAGGAGCGGTTCAGACCCGCGCCAATTCAGACAGGGCACTGATCTGAAGCAAGCGTTGAGCCTCCTCCTCCTCTTCCTCCTCCTTCGGACTTCGGGTTGCTGGAAAGTGTATCCCACGGATGGTACCATACCCCCCAGTGGCCTGTGCCCCTGGGGGGAGGGATCGAACTAGAAACTGTAGGGAAACTCGCCGGCCCAACGGGCCAGAGGCGTGCTAAGATCTCCGGTAACTGCTAAATAATACTCCTACTTCGCGCGCGCGGCGGCCCCCTGGGGGTCCCCGGACGAAAAGTACCCTCCTCCTCCTCCTCCTCCTCCTCCTCCTCCTCCTCCTCCTCCTCCTCCTCCTCCTCCTCCTCCTCCTCCTCCTCGCAGAGGCGTCCCGGGAGCGGGCCCCGAGTCAAAATACCACCCCCCTAGGGCGCATTTTCCTCGAGCGGGCACGCCCGAGATGCACTTCTTCCTCTTCCGGGAGCACGTCCCAAGTCAGAATCTCACACTCCTGGGGCGCACTTTCTTCGAGCGGGCACACAAAGGATGCACTTCCTCCTCCTCCTCCTCCTCCTCCTCCTCCTCCTCCTCCTCCTCCTCCGCCTCCTCCTCCTCCTCCTCCTCCTCCTGCTCCTCCTCCTTCTCCTCCTCCTCCTACTCCTCCTCCTCCTCCTCCTCCTCATCCTCCGCTTCCTCCCCCCACTCCTGGCCCTTTCGATCAGGGTCGGCGGCACTGGCCGTCAGGCCTCTCCAATAATACTTCTACTTCTCGCGCGCGGGGCGGCCCCTGGGGGTCCCCGGACGAAAAGTACCCCGGGCGATCCCCGGCAGACTCGGGTCAGAGATGGTTTTCCTCCTGGGCGCCGCCCCCGTGGCCCTCCAGAGAGCCCCAAGAAGGGCCACGAGGCCGCCAAGAGCCCTCCAAGATGGTTCAAGAGTGCTCCGAGATGCCACACGATCGTTCCAAGACGCCCAAGATGGCCCCCAGACGCCCCAAGAGGCCTCCAAGAGCACTCCCCAGAGGGCCCCAAGAGGCAAAATTCATTACTTTTCCTTAGGTTTTGGGCAGATTTTGGCGTGTCCATCTTTTCGGCTTCCCGACGCCCCAAGACGGCCCAAGAGGCCCCCAAGATCGCCCCAAGAGGGCCCAAGAAGCTCCCAAGAAGGCCCCAAGATGGCCCAAGAGGGCTCCAAGACGGCCCCAGAGGCATCCAAGACGGCCCAAGAGGGGCCCAAGAGGGCCCCAAGCGATGCCCCAAAGGGGGAACACAAAACAAAACTTCGAGCCCTCGGCCTTAAGAAGCCCCCAGGAGGCCTCAAGAGGCCCCTGAGAGGCCCCAAAAGCCCCCAAGAGGCCCTCAGGAGGCCCCCAAGCGACGCTGAAGAGGCCCCCCAGCGGCACCAAGAGGCTCAGTCATGCGAAATGGGCCGGCGGAATGAGCGAAGCGATTCAATAAGGAAAGGGGAAGCAAACAGACAGGCCTCCCCCAGGGGCGGGATGGCAAAGTCCCCCAGCCCTGGGGCGGAGAGAGGGAGGAAGGCAGGCACATCAATAAAAGTAGCGAGGAGGTGGGAAGTAAGACTGCGGCGGCAGTGGTAGCGGTTGGAGCGGTGGGCAGCAGTTGCGGCGCGGCGAGCGCGGCAGGGCACAGCCACGCTCGCCACAGGTGTGAAGCCGCAGAGGCCTCTCCCCCTACCCATAGGAGCCCCCGTACGCGGCCGCCAGTCCAACGACGGGAACCCTCCCCTGCACGGAGGCGTAGGGTTCACGAGCGATGAACTGGTGGCCGACATGGGGGAGGTCCTTTTGGCCAGCAGGGATGCCTGCAAGTGAATGCAAGGAACACGCTGCTCCTCAAGCACGACGAGAGAGTTAGAGGTCTTGGATCGAGACCGTTGCAAGATGAAGCGCTCGAGCCAATACATGCTTGAGGGAGGGAAGAGGGGGAAGGAAGAAGGGACGAGGGAGAAGGGACGAGGACGTCAAATAGGTCAGAAAACGGGTGACGCTTCCTGGCCCGCAGACGGCTACAGAAGACCCTCAAGCAGAAAGACTGACATGAAAGGCATTTGAACGTCCCAAAATCCAGCCAGCCTCGTTGAGAGACTCAACACTCCTTCAAGCGGTTGGGCATCTGGATGCGAGAACACAGCCAGACATATAAAAAAGGCCCCCCCTGCCCGCCTGTTTGCTACCTTGCCCACGACGATCTTCTCGCCGCGGGCGAGGACATACTGCTGCGATCGCTCCGGGCCGGCCGAGATGGCGATCACTTTGACATCCCTGCTCATCCTATGCTTGAGCAAAAAAAACAATGCAGTCGCACCAGCCTCTCCATAAGTCCTCCCCTGCTCACCCTACATATCCGAGAATGCCTCCCTCTGCCGCAGAACACAGTTTGACAGCAGGAATCGGAATGAGTGCGCAGTGTGCTCGCAGAAGCTGAGCCCTTCCCGCTCCCCCGCGACCACTATCCACCACCACCCCACACACTGTCAGACAAACCATTCACGTGTACACACACTGGCGATCATGGCGAAAGAAGGCCAGTTGTGCAATGGATCGCTAGATCGTGACGGTCACTGCGATCGCCGCCCGCGGCCATGCGAAGAGAAGCAAGCGAGGCCACCTCCAGCCCGCCACTCTGAGCCACAGCTCGGATCCACGGCCGAAGAATCCAGAGGAGCCGAACCCATGGAATCGGGAAGGGTGGCGAGCCCAAGGATCTCATGCGAGTGTCCCTCGTGTCGGGGGCGCGCAAACATGGGTTAGCAATCCATGGATTTGGCGCGCGGTCGCCAAATCCATGGATCGGGGGAGGTGCCCTCCCCAAAATGCGGCCAGTGCTCGGCGGCGGAAATCTGCGATTTCCCATGGAAGCGGGACCCGTCGCCAACTCACGCCCCCTTGACCCATGCTTGCGATCGCCTGATCTTGGGCCGCGCCCCAGGGCCTCTCCCTTTACGGCCTTCCCTAACACCTGGTGAACTCACGCTCCACTCCGAGCACTGGCAGTGACGTTCGCATCGGCCCCCGGTGCAAAAAACGAAGGCGGCATACACGATCGGTGCGAACACCTCGGGGATCTCTGAAAGCCGGCGAGGCGAAAGGATGCCCGAGGTACCGCGGCAGCTCCAACAAGTTCGTCTGGAACGCACGGAGGATCTCTGGAACGAGCAATTCGCATCCCGAGGCTGCATGGCGGTGCCCCCCCTGCGGAGCTGCCCCCCGTCGCGGGTCGAAGTTCGCGCTTCGCGCCGCGCGAGGCGCGAGAGAGGAACACGCCTGTGGGAGACCAAAACCAAGAGAGCCCCGACGGCGGACCAGGGAGAGGCGGGGGGAGGGGGGGGGAGTCCAAACCGAATACGGGGCGGATTCAGAACAGCATGGGCGACCCCCACAATTCCGGAACCCATCCCACACTGTACCAATCCAACCCATGAAAATATAGAAACGATCGCGTATTTTGAAAAATCCTGCGGGTTCTTGCATCCCGCATGCTTCCAGAGAACATCCGTAATGAAACATCCTTATGACTATAGATAGTCGCCATGGTTCCTTATGGAATCCGAAAGTATCCTGAGGGATGCAATAAAACATCTCCAGGAGTCCTGAAAACTGTTCGTGACCGCTCAGGATATCGCATGACTCCTGAGGAGAGCCTTCACACGTTCTTAAGATTCCTGCGGGCACCACTAGGACTCATTCAGAAATCCGCGCGAATCCATAGGAAGATCCGGGGACACCTGTGCGATTCCCGGCAAAATCCGAATGTCTCCTGAGGAGAGAGACCCTTAAGATCCCTGAAAAGATCCTGACGATTCCTGAAGACATCCCTGCGGTTTCTCACGCTTTCATTTGGAAAGTATCACGCTTCCTTCGAATTCCTCTGGACATATGATGATTCCCTGGGATTGCTGGGAATTAATGCCGACTCTTTCGGAAGTCTTTCGGCTTCTTGAAAATTCCTCCAGAATCCGAAGAATTCCTGAAGATGTTCTTTGGGGTCATTTGGATTCCTTTGCGTTCCTCCAGGTTTCCGCGAGGCTTGCGAGGGGCTTCCGGAAGGCTTAAGACAGGTTTCCGATAGGCTTCCGACAGGCTTCCGCGAGGCTTCCGACAGGCTTGCAATAGGCTTGCGGGAGGCGTCACAGGGGCTCCTTAGAGGCTCATGAAGGCTCACGGAAGGCTCTCGAGAGGCTCCCAAGAGGCTCCCGACAGGTCTCTTAGAGACTTTCGACAGGCTCCCGACAGGTTTCAAACGCTTCTTCCTTGAGGTCCGAGAGGCTCCGAGAAGCTTCCGAGAGGTTTCCGAGAGGCGTCCGAAAGGCTTCTGAAAGGCTGCCGACAAGCGTCGGACAAGTTTCGGAAGGTGTCTGAGAAGCCGCTAGGAGGCTCCACAAAAGCTTCCGAAAGAGTTCCGATTGGCTTCTGGGAAGCTTCCGAAAAACATCTTAGACGATTCGTAAAAAAATCCGAAAGACCTCCGAAAGGCTTCCGGTTCTTCGAGGCTTACGACAAGCTTCCGAGGGGCTCCTGGGAGGCTTCCGACAGGCGTTTGTCCAGCTTTCTGTTGCGTTGCCGTTGCGCTGACTAGGCGGTGCTTTTGACTTGCGGTGCAGTACTTCCGAGTTGCTGTTGCATGTCCTTCGCGTTGCTGCTGCGTGGCCTTCTCGGTGCATGGCGTGTGGTTTTGTGTACGTTGCTGTCGGGTTTTGTGTGCGCAGCTGTTGCGTTGCATCGGGTCGCTGCGCGTGCCGTTTCGCGTATGGGGAAATCAACTTAGTTGTGCATTGCGTTGCGCTTGGTTGCGTTGCACCGCAATGTGTTTATTACCGTCTGCGTTCCCACCTGTCCCGAACCACAACCGTGTTCAGAACCGCAACTACACAGACCGAAAAGATACCAATCTAAACTTATGTAGGCACTCGTGCTGTTTCCCAGGACAAATATTAGAATATCAAGGTGCCATTGCTTTCAATGGTTGACGCATAGAATCCGAGCGTGAAGCTACTTGGCAAGTTGAGATTGGCCTCCGTGCGTTGGTTAAGACCCATACCGTTCGGTTGAGATTCGCCCAAGCCGGGTAGGACTCGACCCGCATGCGGTCCAACCCGCCTCCCCATGGGGACAGCCAGCGGCGCGCTCTCAATAACAATCACGAGGACGATCAATTACTCCGATGGAAAGACCCCACATGAGAGTCTTCTCGGCTAGTCTGGAAGTACTCCTCATCGTCGTCCTTGTGATTGCGCTTTGCCACCTCCTCCTCCTCCTCCTCCTCCTCCTCCTCCTCCTCCTCCTCCTCGTCATCATCATCCTCTGGCCTTTTCCCCCCTCCACCACCTCCCCCCTTCCTCTTGCAAGGACACACATTTCGAGCTTCTGAGGGGCCAGCACCGCCTCAACCGGCGCGCGCGCGTTCGCTGGCGGCCAAATCACGAGGCCGTTGGGACACCGGGACGTGGGGACGCCGTATGGAGGGGCTCACGCTACAGACTTCCTCGCGAGTCACTCATAAACGAAGCTCCCGCTCGAAACCTCTTCCAGATTCAGATATAAGGAGCCCAAAAAGTGACAGCAGTTACAAGATCTAGGAGACACGTTCAGATTCCAACATAGAGACGGGCACCCTATAGGGAGAGGGCCCCACCCGAGACTTCCGTGTGATTCACTCGCAGTCAAGGCTCCCGCTCGAGACTTCCTCCAGATTCAGGCCTGAAGGGCCCAAAAGTGTTGACAGTCAGAGGATCCGAATGGCCCCGCTCGGATTCCAACATGGAAGCGGGGACCCCATAGTGAGGGGCTCACGCTCGAGACTTCCTCCAGCTTCAGGCCCGAGGAGCCCAAAAATGACGACAGTCACAAGATCTTGATGGCCCCGCTCGGATTCCAAAATGGAAGCGGAAACCCCATAGGGAAGGGCTCACGCTCGAGCCCTCATCGCGAGTCACTCACAGACAAAGCTTTCCTTCAGATTCAGGGCTTAGGAGGACAAGAGAGACCACAGCTACAGGATCTTGATGGCACCGCTGGGACTCCAACATGGAAGCGGGGACCCCACAGTGAGGGGCTTACGCCCGAGACTTCCTCGCGAGTCACTCACAGACGACGCTCCCGCTCCAGACTTCCTTCAGATTCAGGGGAGGGGCGCCCAAAAGAGACGACAGTTACAGGATCTGTACGGCCCCGCTCGGATTCCGACATGGAAGCGGGGACCTCGTGGGGAGGGGCTCCCGCTCGAGACTTCCTCGCGATTCACTGCCAGACGACGCTCCCGATCGAGACATCCTCAAGATGAGGATGCGAGCGAGTGTGTGTGTGAGGGTGTGTGATGATGATGATGGTGATGATGATGATGGTGGTGATGCTGATTGTGGTTTTGATGTTGATGATGATGATAATGATGTTGATGCTGATGATGATAAGTATGATGCAGACGATGATGATGATGATGATGATGATGATGATTATGATGATGATGATGATGATGATGATGATGATGATGATGATGATGATGATGATGATGATGATGATGATGATGATGATGATGATGATGATGATGATGATGATGATGATGATGATGCCGGTGGTGGTGGCGGCCGATAATGATGGTCGAACGGTGGCAGTGCTGATGATGGTGTGATGGTGATGGTCAGTGTGACAGGATATGAGAGGGAGAGGAGGGTGAGGTAAAGAGGACTGCACGAGGTGTCCAGAGAAAACAGTAATCCAATTTAGGATTTAGGGAAAAGACATGATCCTCATCATCTTCTCCCTCGTCCTCGTCATCCTCATCCCTCATTTTCCCTCCTCCTATCCCTCTCTCTCTCTCCCTCTCTCTCTCTCTCTCTTTCCCTCTCTTCCTGTAGAGAGTGCCGCACACGACTACCGTCAGGCACGATCAACCGTTGGTCGGAGCTTTCAGCGGAGAGCCAAACAAAAGGAGGGGCGGGCAAGGTTAAGCACGCCCGCCCCAGAGCGACGCAGGGAAGAGGGCTGTGCCTCCTGTTGAGCTACACTGTCAATGTTGAGCTACACTGTCAATGTTGAGATACACTGTCAATGCCTCGATCTCCTGGGGATTGGCTGTGCTCCTGCTCGTTAACATGTGTCACGTGTGCGGAGCTATACTGTCAATGCCACGCTTTCCTGTGGTTTTGCTGCGTTCCTGCTCGCAACGCACACCGCCAGAGGCCGTGGAGAGCTTGAGAGGTCCACCTACCAATTACACGATCTCCACGTCTGTCTCCGAATGCTCCCGGAGGACACTACCAGAGCGCTCCCCAGC